AAGGACTGCAGAGTTTCAGTACCTTGCACACTACGAGTAGCACAGCTGGAAAGAGACAGAGCTTAGGATGCAGATCCAGGGCTGTCTGACTTCAGAGCCTGTGCATGTGACCATCACACTTTAAGGAAGTCCAAGAGGCGCAGGTTTAAATTCCACCCCTAAGCAAAACTCTGTAATTGGAAAGGTCCCTACAGTGCTGTGTGGAGCCTGGATTGGGGGGGCCAGTGGAGGACAAGAGCCCTTCAGGATCACAGAGTGAGCACAGAAAGGGGCCCTGCCCTCCAGCTGCTCAGAACCCCAGGCTCTGCCCCTTCCTGCAGCCTGGCTCTTCCTCCTCACCCCCGGGGTGGCAGGGAGGACCCCAGTCCCAGGGGTCACCAGAGTCTGTCTTTGTTCTTCTCCCTTCCTCAGCTTTGCCTCCGTGAGCAGCACTCTCAGTCCCCACTGGGTGCTCACAGCGAGCCCAGCATTCTTTTGTTCTTGTGGGGCTGCAGTTTGGTTCATATGTGGGCTTCCCATACATCCATAAAGGAGCTTAAGAGGGACAATGGGTGTGATGTGACCGGCACAGTCACGTAGGAGGCATGGATAACTGCTCAGGCCCATTGTCTTACCCCTCGGTGTTTTCCAGCCCTTACCGTGTCCCACCATTATGACGGATGCCATGTAGTGTGTTGGGTAGGTGCCCAGACTTTGGGTTCAAAAGACCCAGCTCTGTCACTTAGCAGTTGTATGGCCACAAAATGAGGATAGTAATAATTCCTCTGAGTAAAGTTCTAAGACCAGGGCCTGGCACATAAGCTGTCACGGTTAGTAAACGTAACGGTTAGGAAAGGAGCCACTTTTCCTGCAGTGTGGTGTTACCTGAGTGGTCTCAGGCAGGATGCTTATCCTCTCTGAGCCTTAGCCTCCCCCTCTGAAAGATGGATTGATAACACACGAGAAGGGGAGGACGGAATCTCTCAGTGTGGACGACATCGCAGGCACACAGTAGGCGCTCACACCTCCTGCTCCCTGGCCGGGCAGGCCTATGAATATCCACTGCTCGTCCCAGGACGGGCGCTTCGTGGGCAGCCTCAGGAGGGCCAGTCACTCCTCCCGGGGCAGTCGGCGGCTTCCTTTCTGCTTTCCAGGTCTTCCCTGACCTCCCTGTGTGTCCTCCTCATCTCCTGTACAGGCCTAGAGGGAAAGAGCGTCCACACAGCAACCCAAGGGCCTCCCTCCCACTTCTTCACCTTGTTCACGTGAGCAGGACCCTTGCTCACGGCCCTGTGCCTCAGGGGACTGCCTGCACTTTAGAGTGCCTTCCTCAAAATTTTCTAAGGTCCTTTGGATGCCTGGGGTCAGCTGAGGTCAGCAGTGCCACCTGGAGAACTGCCCCAGGCCCCTATCGCTGCCCTTCTGCGTGCTCTCACCCTTTACTCAGCACATGGGTTTTTCCAGGTGCCCTGAGGAGCTCCAGGATTCCTGCCTATGGGATTGTCCTGGTGACCCATGGCCGGAGGGCAGCCGAGCGAGTGGATCATTTCCACTGGCTGGCATGCTATTTCTTTGTGGGATCATGTGAGAATGGGCCATCAGAATAGTGCCGATGCGCTGATCTGGGGTGCTTCAAGTGGTTTCTATAGACAAAGACTCCAAAAAACATATTTTCCTGAAGCTCTGACACCCGAGGGGTGGCCTTACCCTCATCTACATCCTCTCCTTCCACAAAGAAGCCTTTAGCCTGTCAGCTGAGTAGACGGGGAAACTGAGGCCTGGGGAGAAAAACCCACCTACATATCCTCATTTCTTTGTTGACCAAACTTGAACAGAATCCCCACTGTCCTGAATTCCCGCCCTCACTGCTTCCCAGACGCCTTCTCTCCTTCCTGTCCATCACGCTCTCCACCCCTGCCGCATCCTAGAAACCCTTCTGAGATACCCTCTCCCCACACTGGGCCTCCAGCTCCAGTACACCCCCCAATACCTCCACAGCCTCTGACTCCCCGCCCATGAGTCAGGGCCGGGGTGGGGCTGGGCCTGGACTCTCTCTGCGGCTCTGAAGCTGGGGCAAGCAGGAGGGGGCGTCTAGCTTGGGGCAGGGGGTTCAAGGGAGGAGTATGCCCCCTGCCCCAGCTGCACATGCCGTGTGGGTCCTAAAAGCCCTTTTTCTTCCCCTTATAGGATGCTGCAGAACAACCAGCTGGGAGGAATCCCCGCAGAGGCCCTGTGGGAGCTACCGAGCCTGCAGTCTCTGTGAGTCATTAGAGGGCTGGTCCGAGGAGTCACCAACTTCCTGGGGCCTGAGTCACAGCCCAGGGCACCCCTGCCTCAGCGTTCCCGTCTCTCTGCAGGCCCCCCTCTCTCACTCCATGTTCCAGACAGCGTGCCGCTTCTGGCTTTGGTTG